AAGTAGTGAAGTAGACAGTAATATACCTGGGGTACGAGGTCAGTGCTGGGCAACGGACTTTAGGGCAGGCTTGCAAGGAAGCAATATGCCAAACCCCGAAACCTCAGACAATAAAAGAACTCCAAACCTTCCTAGGCATGGCAGGGTGGTTCCAGCTGTGAATTTTTAATTATGGACTGCTTGTCAAAGCTCTCTATGCTGTTATTGCCAGTAGAAATAGAGAGCTCCAGTGAACAAAGGAAGCCACACGGGCCTTTCACCAGCTAAAGAGTGCCCTCATGTCAGCTCCAGCTTTGGGACTTCCAGATGTAAGTAAACCATTCTTTCTATTTTCCCATGAAAAACAAGGAATTGCCCTGGGAATATTGGCTCAGTGTCGGAGTCTGTGGGTATTGGTGATTCCGAGATTGTAGAAAATCTCTGTCTTTCTGCCCCGTTGCCAAAGAAGAAGCCATAATTCGTCTGTGCTGTTTTCAAGGTTGTTTATTCTGTTTATCTCTAACATGTTCTACTGCCCTGCCGCAGGTCTGTCCTGCAGGGCAGCGTGCGGGGCTCTGCCCCCAGTGGGATGTTACAAACATTATATACCAGAAACTACGTGTACTATATTTACAATAATGTGCCAATATCTATCATCTACATTAAACAGCATGTCCCCAGCCTAAACCAATAGAAAAATGCCAACACTACAGTGAAACATGGAGGGCATGAAGAAGGAGGAAAAGGACAAGACACAGCCAATTTCCTCCATCTTGTCCCCTTTGAACCCCTAATCTAGAAATCTAAAAGTTTACTTTTGCACCCGTGCCACACTTAATTATTACTCTTATCAAACACTCAGAGCTTGTAATTAATCCTGTAAGATTGAAAACTCCTCTCCGTGGACAGAGATCACAGACAGTGTCTCTCGGGGCTCTGTACAGGGGGGTTCCTGACCCCTGCCAGGGTCCCAGACCTGCCAGGGCAGCCAGAGGGAAGCCCTGGATTCCCACAGCTCAGGACTTGGGTCCCTACCAGAGGGTAGTTACTTACTTTTCCAAGCAACTAGATGCAATGGCTAAGGGATGGCCAGGTTGCCTCAGAGCTGTAGCAGCAGTCATGTTGAATATTCAAGAAGCATGCAAGTTTACCTTGAGACAAATAATGACTGTACTAGTGTCCCACACAGTGTCCGCAGTACTGGCAGTAAAGGGCGGCCACTGGCTCTCACCACAGAGGTTCCTGAAGTACCAGGCCATCATGGTAGAACAAGATGATATAGAGATAGTAGTAACTAACATTGTCAACCCATCTTCTTTTCTCAGTAAGAATCAAGGAGAAGCAGTACACCACGACTGCCTGGAGACTATTGAAGCTACTTACTCCAGTCGCTCAGACTTAAAGGACACTCCTTTAGATGATGCAGAGACCTAGTTCACTGATGGGAGCAGCTATGTTGCCAGTAGGAAGCGACATGCTAGATATGCAGTCACTACCTGAAAACACACTGGAAAGTAGATGTACTGAACACCTATTTAATTAAAAAGATCATTGCCAGAAATCTATATACCACTATTATTCAGGTGACTCAACAATGTGATCTTTGCCTCCAGACTAAACCCAAGAATATCCCCAGACCAAAACTCAGTCAGATTGGGAGGGGCCAGAGACCCAGACAGCAGTAGCAAATTGACTTTTCACAACTCCCAAGGAAAGGGGGGTATGAGTATTTACTAGTATTGACTGATACATTTTCAAAGTAGCCAGAAGCATTCCCCACCAGAACTGTCAAAGCTCGAGAAGTAACCAAGATATTATTACAAGAAATAATACCACGTTTCGGAGTTCCAGCCGCAATATCCTGTCATGGTTTGACATGGGAAGAGAATTTTTTTTGGAAGGAAGAGGTCAGTCCAGTCAGGGGTCAGGTTTAGATACTGACACTTGGGGTGACCAATTGAAGGTGGACACGCCTCTGAGAACACAGAGGGGTTAAAAGCGGAATTCCCAGGAGGACTCGTCCTTCTTTGGTTCCGGTCACCACATGATACGGACCTCCCCTGCCCAGCCCGGGCTGGGTGGGGGAGGGGAGCCATGCGGCCTGCACAGGTAGGCCAGGAGGTAAAGGATCGGAACCGAGCTGGGCCAGCTCCTGCGGACGGAAGGGTGGAGAACATCTGGGATGTTTTTGTTCCCCCTCCCCTAAGCCAGAGGGAAAAGAGATAGAGAGCCAGCAGACACCTAGGAGTTTGCCGGCAGAGGAGAAGGAGAAGGGGGGGGGGGAAAGATGCCCAGCGTGGGAGACTAGAGAAAGAGTCCTGGGCTGAGATTGCAGCCGTCCAGGAGTCTGGGAATTTTAACCCTTTCCTGTGAAATGAAGGCTTTATGAAATATTACTCCTCCTGAATTTGAAGAAAAGAGAGACAGCCTGAAACCTCAGATGTTCAGAGAAGAAGGTTGGGGGGCAGATGATAGAGTGGCTTTTGGCTGGACTCTGCTTGTTTACCATAGACTGAACCACTCTTTCTTTCAAGAGGGACTGCATTTTAGGGGGATGCATTGGTGAGCCAAGAGACCTTCTTCAGCAACTACCAGTTTTGGAGTGGACAGAGAGAGAGCTGAGGAGGGTGTGAGGATGCCCTTCATCTTCAGAGAAGAAGAGAAGGCGATCTCTGTCTTTTGGACCCTCGGCCCCAGGGGAAAATGGGGGGGACTCTAGTCCCGAATTGTGATACTGGACTGTTGTTCCTGGTGGTCCTTGGCAAAGCATCCTTAAAGGGGCCCTATAAGCAGTCTCTGTCCATGCACGGTGGTGAGAGCACTGTGACATGGAGAGGAGAGTGTCACACTGGCTGGTGTGTCTGGGCAGTGCCACGTGTGACATTGGAAACACAAGAGGTGGCAGCTGTGTTTCCTGGGGGTCTATGGTGCAAGAGGGACTCCTCTCTTCCCCGATGGACTCAGTATTGATTATATTGAAGGGTGAAAACTTGATTAAGGATCCAAATGGGTCTCGCTGGGGTTTGGTGGAGTTGGGTGGAGGGAGGAGAAATGTTTTGGAAGGTTTTCATTTCGAATTTTGTGTGGTTTTTTTCTTTCCTTTCTTTTCCTTTTATAGTAGTAGTAGTAGTAGTGTAATAAAGTTTTTTCCTTTGTTATTAAGTTTGGCCTGCTTTGCTCTGTTCTTGATCACATTTCACAGCATTTGATTGGTAAGTTGTATTTTCATGGGGCGCTGGCATTGTGCCAGCGTCAAACCATGACAATCCTCAGACAGGGAATCACATTTCGTTTCCAGAATAGTACAACAGATTAGTAACCACGTAGGCATAGATTAGAAATTACATACTCCATACCGCCCCAAATTGAGCGGCCAAGCAGAGAAAATGAATCATCTGATTAAGCAGAAAATTGTAATATTGGGGCAGGAAGTTAATCTACCATGACCCCAAGCTCTTCCACTAGCACTGTCACAGATTTGAACTAAACCTAGAGCTAAAAAAAACCCTGAGTCCCTTTGAAATACTCTATAAAAGGCCATATGGAACACAAAAGGGGACGTCCACCCACATTGGGGAGGTAACATTAGCCACCTGTATAGTGGCTTTAAGTAAACAGCTCAGAGAAATTGAAAAATATGTAGCTAGAACTCAGAACAAGGAATTAGATGGACCAGTACATAACATACAACCTGGGGACTATGTATATATTAAATCTTTTACAGAAAAGACCTTGAAGCCACAATGGGAGAGACCATACCAGGTGCTTCTCACCACTACCACCGCAATCAAAGAGCAAAATGCCTAGATCCACCATTCGCGAGTGAAGAAGGCTCCAGAAGCCCCTTGGAAAGTGACACCAAGAGAGAAAGGACTGAAACTAAAACTTACCTGGGCAAAATAACATTGCAGCTGGGGGTAGCTTGTAATTTTGTGGGTCTCAGATTCGGTCAAAGAGAGAAACTGAGAGTTTCTAGCCAGGCAGAAGCCTGGGAAAGAGCTGGAGAAGAATGTAAATAATTCTTTATCTCTCTTGTTTTTCACATTGTTTATAGTTAAGTTCTATCACCGTGCGTCAAGCACTTTGCACCAATGCTGTGGGCTGTTTTCACTTCAGAACCAATGGAGTTGGTCCTCACAAAACTCTGTGTAAAAGAGCAGTGTATTTTGAATAAAACGGAGTTTTACTCTCACAGCCTTCTGATCTGGTCAGTGTCTTCATTCCCGTCCCGCCTCGACAGCGACAGGTGGAGCGAAACCCGGAAGCTGGGGCACGGGATCTCTCGCATGTCGTAGACGCGGCACGGGCACAGATGGTCTCGGAGGCGGCAGCCGCGGGGGGAGACCCGAGCCGTGCTGGGCCAGGCGGGATGCGGCGTGGGGCCTTGCCCGCGGCGGCAGTGGCGGGACTGAAACACAAATTTTAAGGAATTTAGAGATTTTAGAGGAGCTAAGATTTTAGTTAGAAATAAGCCTTACCAGAGTTAATTAAAATAAATGAGTAGACCTTGATGAAATTAGGATTTAGTAGTTAACTAATAATTGATTGTGCCCAGAACGAAGAAGGGGTGATGAACAGAAAAAAAGCCATGGGCGGGGGGTGGGGGGGGGAGAGAAAGGGTGGTTGCTCATGCGAAGGAGGAATGAGGAGGACTGGAAGGCCCTACCCTAGGGGACCCTCTGGTTATAGTTAAACTAGGGAATAAAGAAAAGGAAGTGGAATTTTTAGTGGACACAGGGGCAACATTTTCAGTGTTGAATAAGGCCCTAATACCTTTAACAAATGATTATGTTATGGTAAAGGGGGCTACTGGCCAATCTGAAAGAGCATATTTTTGCAAACCATTAAAATATAAATTGGGAAAGCAATGGGGAATTCACCGGTTTTTATATATGCCTAATGCTCCATCTGCACTTTTGGGCAGGGATCTGCTAGAGCAGCTGGATGCAAAAATAATATTTAAAAATGGAGAAATTAGCTTGGAGGTAAAGGACCAACAATGTGTGGAGTTGTTGAGCCTAATGTTAATAACTAAAGAACTTGAGACTGTAAGTGAAGAAGAGAAAAACTCCAAGAAAATAATGGATCAAGTATTCCCTGGGGTATGGACATCTAATATACCAGGGAGAGCAAATAATGCATTACCTATACAAATCAAGCTTAAGGAAGGAGAATGGGCAGTGAGGGTTAAACAATACCCCCTGAAGAAAGAAGATAGAGGAGGGATTAGCCCAATTGTAGAGATTTTTTTTTCAAATAGGACTGTTAAAAGAGTGTCAATCTGATTTTAATACTCCCATTTTGCCAGTAAAGAAGCCTGATGGGTCATACTGGTTAGTACAAGATTTAAGGGCAGTTAACAGAGTAACTGAAGACTTGTACCCAGTAGTTGCTAACCCTTATACCTTGTTAACTCGTTTAACACCTGAACTAACATGGTTTACCGTTTTAGATTTAAAGGATGCTTTCTTTTGCCTCCCTCTCCATGGACCCAGCCAGAAAATTTTTGCATTTGAATGGGAGAACCCCAAAACTGGACGGAGGAACCAGCTCACATGGTGTGTATTACCACAGGGATACAAGAACTCTCCTACTATATTTGGGGAACAGCTTGCCAAGGATTTAGAATCTTGGGAACCTCCACCAGGAGAAGGACAGTTGCTTCAGTACGTGGATGATCTCCTGATAGCCACCCAGACCCAGGAAACATGCGTGGACTGGACGGTAAGCCTCCTAAACTTTTTGGGCCTACAGGGGTATCGAGTATCCCAGAAGAAAGCCCAGATGGTGAGGCAAACAGTCATTTACCTGGGTTATGAAGTGAGTGCTGGACAAAAGACCTTGGGCCAGTATTGCAAAGAAGCAATATGTCAGACCCCGAGACCTTAGACAGTGAAAGAACTGAGAACCTTTTTAGGCATGACAGGGTGGTGCAGACTATGGATTTATAACTATGGGTTACTTGTTAAACCTCTGTATGCCCTGATCACAGAAGAGAGCAGAGATCTCCAGCCTTAGGACTTCCAGACGTGAGTAAACCATTTTTCCTGTTTTCCCACGAAAAACAAGGGATCGCCTTGGGAATACTAGCACAGAACTTAGGCCCGTACCAGAGAGCTAAAGCCAGGGAACCTCAGGAAAACGGGAAACTGGACAAGACAAACGCACATCCAATCAATATGATTAATGCAACGTTCTCCGTTTATTCAAAATCAGGCGGTAGTTTATATAAGCTTCTACATAGTTTACAGAAACAAAGACACTCTGATTGGTAGGCTAACATTGTTTACCTTTTCCTTAAAACGGCCTACACTGTACACCATAAAACCTATACTAGTTCACACCCCGTGGTCCCCACAATACCTTAAGACTATTTTCTATCTGCGCCACAAACTCTGAATTTCTAACTGCGTCAGAGGCCTGAAGGCCCCACCAGGCCTCAATCTGAGGCCTAGCCTGGAGTAGCTCAACTTTCACAATTCATGCCCTCTTTCTCTCAAAAATGCTGCAACAATTCCCTCTTTTTCTTTTGAGCTACTCAGGCTGGAGTGAAGGCTCAATGAACTAATTTTTGCACACACTGTAAAAAACACGGTATAACAATTTAAATAACTATAAAGATAAAAAAAAGTGCAATACCCTTTGACCCAGCTAACATGAAAGAAACAATCTTAATTTTAAACATAAACTATAACTTCTAATAAACTAACTTCTGATAAATCTAACTTCACACTTATGATATTTCAACTTATTTTTCTGTACTCTACAAAATTAATTTTCATCAGAACTGGATTCATCAGGGATGTTCCAGGCAAACTGTTGTTGTTCACGTTGTTATCACTGCGGGTTGATATATTTTTCATCTATTTTTAAAATTCTGTTTCTGCCTTTTCGTATCAATGCAGCAAGAGCATCTGTCCTGCTCAGACGTCTTGGTTGGACGGGTAAAAACACTCACTCAAGTAGAATTTCTGTTGATCCACGTTGGGACCTCCCTCTTTTTCTTTTGCCATTGAAAGACAACGGCAAGATGAACAGAAAAATCACAAGCATTACTAAAACTTATTAATACTTAGCAAAAAAAAATAAATTCTATAACATCATTAAAAACACACTTATAAAAAAACCTCAAAGCCCACGATCTTCTGTGGGTGAAACACAAATCTTTGCACAATTCACTTTTGCTGTGCATCCTCTGATCCACTTGTGGAGAGATCAGTGCCCTCTTGCAATTGATAAGTTCCACATTCTTCACTGAAATCCATTTAGATTCTGCACCTGTTAAAACACAAACAAACCCAACACCCCCACAGGGACTGGAGGGTCCTCTCTCAATTCTGTTCCCTAAAATTTGCATGAAGAAATGGAAATATCAACATCTTTGTTATAAACATGAAAAACATTAAGAACAAAACAATGCATATAGTAAAGAAACTAACAACAAATAAAAATCAATCAAATAATACACAATCAATATTACATATAAAATCACAGTTACCAAGTGCTACACTATCAAATTGTCATCCCAGAGTCTGCAGCAGCTGAAAAACCTTAAAACAACAGAGATTTGGATAAAACATGTCCGGATCATGTTTTTCCAAACTCCCTTTGAGGCTCAGCTGTCTTGTATGATCAAATTGTCAAGCCAAAAGGACTTGAATACTTTTTTGATGCAGAAAACACCTGGATCAATCACACCATCCACGTAGAGCCAGAGCTTGGCCAGAGCTCGAACTCTAATTGGAGGATATGTTTAAAACAAAAGTCTTAAAAATAACAGTTATAAGTAAAAACCCTTATTATTAAAAATTTATCAAAACATCAAATAATTGAACCTGTCTAAAATTTCTTTTTAAAACAAAAATTCTCTAAATACAACAAACCTTTTCTTCAAAAATTTGAAAATTTGAAGTCTGAAATCTTGAACCAGAACTTGGACTATAAATTTTTAAAAGAAGATGAACTGCAGCTGCATAGAAAATTGAATAAAGAAAACACATGAGTAGTTAAAAAATCAAACACACAGGATCCTGAAAAACACATCTTACAATCAATCACTTAAAAAACCCATAAAACATATGAAAACTGACTGTAAATATTAAAACAACACCTCAATATCTTAACATCTTAATAATAATTCTTATCACAAAAATCAGACAACTCACATTATATGATTAACCTATTAACAAGAAATGTTTAAAATAGTTTAAAACAATCTTGTCAAAGCATTCATATAACATTAGTAACAATCACTACTTATCATCACCTATAAAAACTTGACAATTATTATTTATCTTATTATCTATAAAAACTCAAAAACAGAAATTGTGAACTCAATGCCAACATTCCATCTGACTGACTTTTCTCAAATCTTTGTTTTCAAAGACATTTTTTGCAATTAAATCATTATTAACATTTCTATCCTTTTTTTTTTACAGTAATTTTCATCCACATTGTATTTGAAATAACTTTGATTTGCATAATGTCCATCCCTCTTGGCATCATGGAAAACACTCAGTATTGCTATATTTTTTCATTACGTCTCTTGTCTCCTTGTGTTGTTGCTTGATAAAGCAGCTGCAATGATGTGTCCTTGTTGTTGAATTGCGTCCTGGATGGTTGCGGTGAATGCCGCAGCTTGGTTGCTCTGTTCTGCGCGTGTGGCTCTGACAAGCATCTCATCGACTGGACAGCCCTGAGGAAGGGTGGCTAGGATGGTTCTGGTGGGTGGGTTAGCATTCTCAAAAGCAAGGGATCGGAATAAATGTTCCTGAACGTCTGGTGGCACGTCAGGTGCATCCTTTAAAGCAGCTGACAGCCTATCAATAAATTGTCCAAATGGTTCAGTGGCTCCTTGCTTTATGGTGGCATAGGATGCTGACTTTTTCTTGTCTGGTACCAAAAGCAAAGCTTGATGGGCCAATTGCTGTGACAATTTGTGTATTTCAACAGGAAAGGTAAGTTGCACCTGATTGGTTGCATATGGTCCTCGCCCAGTCAGCATATCTGGCTGGACTCCAAAAAAGGGGTCTCCCACATCTGTGTGTTTGTTGGCCTCTTCAATTGCCAACCGCTTCCATTCCCTTTCAAACATGAGGAATTGAGAAGGTGTCAGAAGCAGGGATGCAATGTTAGATGAATCACCAGGACAAAGCACATCTGCTGTGAATATATACTGAATGATGTTCCTGGCTGCTTCTGATCTGATCCCATAAGCGGTGACTATCTGCTTAGCTGATTGTAGGATTTTCCAGTCATGGGGCTCCCAGATGGCATTCCCATTAGACACTATAACAGGACAAGCCAGGGAGCTGGCAGCTTTCCAGTCACCGTCTAAAAGAGCATCTTTCACAACTGACGCCCATCGGGACTGCAAGGGATTTTTTAAAACTGCTGGCGATGCCAATTGCTGGCCAGTGGAAGGTTCCACTGGTGGAGCCTGACGATTTGAGAGGGTGGCAAGGCGGGCTATTTCTTTCTGTAATATATTTGGTCTTTGTATCTTGTTCTGTGATCGCGTGTCCCTGCTGCAATTGACAACAGAGAGGTCCGGTTCTGAGTCATCAGAATCTGAGCTCAATGGGAGTGGGCTGCGCAGCGCTACCGTGGTGGGATGGGAACTGGCATTTTCGGGGCTCTGCTCTGGTGTTGTCTGGGTGGCTACTTCTGCCATCCCGCTAGCATTGGGGTGTCCAGCCCCTCTAAGCCGCGCCAGGCTGCTGGCCGCGGCCGCCGCCGCCGGCGGGTATCGGCGAGCCGCTCCTCTGCGTTTGCACGCACCGGTGGCAGCCGCCGCCGCCGCCGCTGCGGGGGGGCGCGGGGCCGGCGCCGCCTTGCTCCCGTCTCCGCCCTGGTCTCTGCCTTGATCTCCGCCCCCGGTTTCCTCCTCCTGACTCAGCCCTGTTTCGTCACCAACTCCGCCTGCCTCCTCAGGTGTCTCCCCGCCTCCCGAGGGACCCGGGAGGGCCACTTCCTGGTCTGCCGCATTTCGCGGAACCGCAGAGCTGTTAACATCCGCTGCTCGTGAGCACACTTCCGCTCCGGGCGCAGCCGCATCCCTGCTTTGTCTCGCGCCGGCCGGCCCCGCGCCGCCCGGCTCTGCGTTTCCCTCCAAACGAGCAACAAAATCCCTGACAGAGGGGCTGACTGGGGCTTTCTGCCCTCGCACTGGCCGCATATTACAAACATTAAAAAATTTTTCAACCCGAGATGGCTTTCGCGCTTCTATCTGTTCTGACGTGGACTGCTCAAATGCTTGAATTGCAGCTTCCGCTGCTCTTTTGTCCGCGGCCAGGCTCTGTAAGGTATGTAAAACTTTCTTCCAAACACCTCCAAGCTCTACTAGTGTTTTCTTGTCCTTTTTGCCCTCTATGACCGCATCCCAAAGCAGCTGCCCCAGCTCTTGCCATTTGGTTTCACTAAAAATCAGGGAAGGTTTTTGCAGCTTGCCTTTGCTTCTTGCCCAAAGGACCAACTGTTCTAAATCGGCTTCTTTAACTTTTTCAGCTCTCTTTGAGAGAATATGAAAGAGCAGCCGCACTGAAGCCTGTAAATCTCCATCCATGGTGAACCTTTCACCCTCTCTCTGTCTCCGCGGCTTACCTCACCCTCCGTGGGCTGCTCCGCTCTCGCTTTTCTTCGGCAAGGCAGCAACTCCGCTCCAGCTCCCCGGCCTCGGCCACGTCCACCCCCGCCGTTCGGGTCTCTTGTGAACGCCGAGGTCTTCCCACTGCTCCACGGACTCTCGCAAACAAACAACAATGCGAAGAGTCTTTTTCCTCCCGTTGGGAACGGCCCAATTCGGAGTTTGGAGACTTCTGCTCCGTTCCACTTGATCCCCGTTCACAAAAAGTGAATTTGGGATCCCGGTCCCGTCACCATGAGGCGATTTGGACCTAAATTTCTGTCGCGCGACTCAAACCCGACTGCCCGTTACTCTAAAAGTAATTTGGCAGCCTTTTCGGAGCCTCCTGGGTCCCTGTGCGGGCGCCACTTAAAGCCAGGGAACCTCAGGAAAACGGGAAACTGGACAAGACAAACGCACATCCAATCAATATGATTAATGCAACGTTCTCCGTTTATTCAAAATCAGGCGGTAGTTTATATAAGCTTCTACATAGTTTACAGAAACAAAGACACTCTGATTGGTAGGCTAACATTGTTTACCTTTTCCTTAAAACGGCCTACACTGTACACCATAAAACCTATACTAGTTCACACCCCGTGGTCCCCACAATACCTTAAGGCTATTTTCTATCTGCGCCACAAACTCTGAATTTCTAACTGCGTCAGAGGCCTGAAGGCCCCACCAGGCCTCAATCTGAGGCCTAGCCTGGAGTAGCTCAACTTTCACAATTCATGCCCTCTTTCTCTCAAAAATGCTGCAACAGAGAGCAGTGGCTTATCTCTCCAAACAACCGGATACAGCAGCTAAGGGATGGCCAGGGTGTCTCAGAGCTGTTGCAGCAGTGGCAGTGAACATCCAAGAGGCATGCAAATTCACCCTAGGCCAGAAGATGACCGTGCTAGTATCCCACACAGTGTCTGCAGTCCTTGAGGCAAAAGGCGGGCATTGGCTCTCTCCACAGAGGTTTCTGAAGTACCAAGCTATACTAGTAGAACAGGATGATGTTGAAATTGTGGTAACTAACATTGTGAATCCAGCTTCCTTTCTCAGCGGGGGTATGGGAGAACCAGTGATCCATGACTGTCTGGAGACCATTGAAGCCACCTACTCCAGCCGCCCGGATCTGAAGGACATCCCACTCAAAGGTGCTGAGACTTGGTTTACTGATGGAAGCAGCTATGTCATCAGTGGAAAAAGGCATGCTGGGTATGCGGTTACCACAAGCAGAGAGGTAATAGAGTCTGGACCTTTATCAGCAAACACCTCTGCACAGAAGGCTGAAATAATCGCCTTAACTCGAGCCTTAGAGTTGGCAAAAGGAACAGAGATTAACATTTACATGGACTCAAGGTATGCATTCGGGGTGGTGCATGCACATGGAGCCATTTGGAAAGAGAGAGGACTGTTGAATTCGCAAGGGAAGAATATTAAACATGCACAAGAGATACTGAGACTACTTGATGCAGTGCAAGTACCTGAGAAGGTAGCCATCATGCACATTAAGGCACACCAAAAAGTGAGCTCTGAACTGGAAGAAGGGAATATGCTGGCGGACAGAGAGGCAAAAGATGCAGCCAAAGGTGAGGTAGTTGAGGAGACAGTGGAGGCAACATTGATCCCAGATGGAAAGATTTCTATTGAAGCTAAGCCAGTGTACAATAAAAAGGATAAGAAACTTATTAAGGCAGAAAAAGCAAATTATAATCAAGAAGGATGGGCTGTAACAGAGGAAGGGAGACTTGTAGTGCTCTCCTATTTGTTCTAGTCATTAGTGCAAAAAGAACATGAAAAAACACACTGGGGAATAGATACCCTGTATAACCATCTGAAAGGAAAAATTATAGCTAGGAAACTACAAGGCACAATAATACAAGTAACTCGTCAGTGTAGCCTTTGCCTCCGAACTAATCCTAAAAACATCCCAAGGCCTAAAGTTGGATAAATTGGGAAAGGTTGCAGACCTGGGCAGCAGTGGCAAATCAATTTCGCAGAATTACCCAGGAAGGGGGGATATTGTTATCTCCTGGTATTGACTGATACCTTTTCGGGTTGGCCAGAAGCCTTTTGTACTAGGACTGCTAAAGCACGAGAGGTAACCAAAGCACTGGTGCAAGAAATAATACTGAGGTTTGGAGTTCCAGCCACCATATCCTCAGATAGAGGGCCGCATTTTATCTCCAAAATTGTGCAACAAATTAGCCATCACCTGGGGATAGATTGGGAGCTACATACCCCATATCATCCTCAATCGAGTGGTCAAGTGGAAAAGATGAATCATTTGATTAAACAACAGATTGTAAGGTTGGGACAAGAGGCAAACCTACCTTGGCCCCAAGCTTTCCCATTAGCATTTTTGCGAATTCGGACAAAACCAAGAACAAAAGAAAAGTTGAGCCCCTTTGAAATATTATATGGGAGACCATATGCAGTTCAAGAAGGAATCACACCAACACAAGTAGGGAAGGAAACCCTACATAGATATATGGTAGCCCTGAACAAACAATGAAGGGAAATTGAAAACTATGTGGCTGGAGCTCAAACCAGAGAATTAGATGGACCAGTACATGATGTACAACCTGGGGATTACGTATATGTTAAGTCTTTTGCAGAAAAAAAGCCTGGAACCACAGTGGGAAGGACCCTACCAGGTGCTCCTCACTACCTTTACTGCCATCAAGATCAAAGAACAGAAGGCCTGGATCCATCACTCCCGAGTGAAGAAAGTCCCTGAGGGAGTCTGGAAAGTGACACCAGGTGACAACGAGCTGAAGTTGAAGCTCACCCTCAACAGCAAATAAATGGACCTATAGAAATGATGGACATGATGGAGAAGGTCGTAACTATTATAGCTATTTCCATAGTTGTAACAGGAGCCAATACAATACCACACAAGTACAGCGTAACTGGAATATACCGGTGCCAAGGTAGGGCCTATGATCCCCACTCTTGTAGGGCCCTAAATGAGATTATAAAGGTTACAAATGCACATTTGTGGGAAGGGAGAAATGTTTGGGGATGTAACTATGCATTTGTGCAAGATGGGTTCCATGAGGCTTACCAACCACCCATGAAACTCATTCAGATTAGCCCTGAATGCTGTGACAAATGTTTGAGTAAATGTCCTGAATTTAGACTAAAACTAGAGGGATGTGCAATAAGAGGCTATGATCTTGATTTTAATATCACTCAAGTGTGTGTTGAATATCATAGGAACAGGACTAGAACTACCTCACCAACACAAAAGAAAGCTGTTACTACCCCACAGCCATTTATCCCAGAAGTAGAAGAGCAGCCTATAGTTCCTATGATTACTAAAATTGGGCCGTACACTATTAAGAAAACGGGAATCCAAAGACTGCTAGTAAATCTGGAATGGTCTCTGAAGCGAATAGAAATGGGAATACAGGTAAATGCTTCAGATGTCCAGCCAGAGTGTGCCCCATTTTGTAAAGACGTTTGAGGGGGGTATTCCACGGACAGATATAAGCGAGATCTCTGTTGGTTGCTCTTGGGGGATGAGGTTTATTCAGGATGCATTGTGGCCCTGCCTCGTGCTGTGTAGCAGCACGTGGCTGGGCCTGAGGTGATGGGGGAGGGGAGAGACACAGAGGGGAGCAGGGACTCCCGGAGGAAGTTCCAGGAGGAGAGGGGAAGATCCAAGAGGGCGTCCGGCCCCCCGGAGACCCCTTATCAAGGGGAGCTCCAAGGTGGGCTGGAACAGGACCTGGGCCAATGGGGTCACAGACACTTGATGTTTCAGGGGAGGGTTACAGGTGTGGGGTGAACCATACATTCTGGGGGGTGAGGTGGAACAGTCCATTTGGCTTTTGGACCCCTCTGTAATTGAGGGTTATTGTCCAGCCAGTAGGGGGCGTTATATTGGTCCTGGCTGTACTATTGTGGTTCTCAATCATATTTATCTACCCTTCCCAACATAATTTCTCAGAAATCCTTTCATGGACTGGGCCACTTGGCTTCAAAAACAAATGCCCTCAAACTTTAAGAGTAAAAGGGATCTCACTGGGCTGCTAGGGACTGGACTAGGACTGCTAAATACCATAGATTCAGAAGTATTGATTAATAAATTAACAACAGTAGGGAACGACTTGGTTAAATTACAGCAACCTTTACAATCTTCCCTACTAGCACTGGGTGACAACCATTGGAAATTCTCAAAACTATTACCAGAGTGGGAGAACACTGAAGAGCAAGACCATGAATTAATAATTAATGCATTAGGCACAGCTAGAGAAAACGTTTCACTAGCTCTTGGGTGTACTCAAGCAGAACTATGGATGCAGTCAGTAACTGCTGCAGTAATCAGGGAAGGTGGGGAGAGAATATTCCCTGCTGTACTCCGTAAAATTGTTTGGGGTAGTGCATCCGATATAGAAAGGGAACTGCAAGCTTGGTGGACTTTGGTCAATTTCACTTATAACCCTATGACTAGTAAAGTAACAACTTTTGTTTTAACAATACATAATGCATCAGTGATCTTAATTCATCCTAAAGTTCCCCTGGGACTAAACCATGAGGGGACTGTGTTATATCCTTCTGAACATAGAACATGGGTGCGAGAAATTAGAGGAAAGCGGCAAACCATCAACTTAGAGCCCTGTTCTATGAGGAGACAACTGGGTTACATATGTGAGGGGACATTAGAAAGTAATAAAGACACGTTTGGATATGGACCAAAGCATTTGCCACTTTGAAATGCATTCAGGCAACCAAACAACTTTGCTTGTATATATAGGACAAGGTTGTGTCTGTCTCAGAACAGCACGCCCCACCATAATGATAGACAATATAAGTATGAATGAGACTCAGTTCAGTCTATGTGTCTGCAACTTTGTCAAAATTGAGGGATGTGACTTCTCCTATCAGGCACCTGTAGTATCACACCAGTATATAAAAGCCAATTTAATTACTGTAAAAGAAATAGTTCCTGTGCCCATAGGAATGAATTTGACTTTAGTTGCCCAATTGTTAAAACATCAGGAACTGAGACAAATTTTAAAAGAGATCAGAGACGCAGGGAAAAAGACTTTAATTACTATACACCATGACACAGAGACCATCAAAGGAGTTTTTAAGCGATTTGAGGAACACTTGTCTCATCATTGGTGGGATGTGCTTTTTGGATGGTCACCAATAGCAACTGGCATACTTAATACTTTAATTCATCCTATTATTGTGTTGCTTATTTTAGTTAGTATAAGCTTGATTTTGTCTGTTGTAATACTTGTTTCGAATTGGAAAATTATACGACGAATGACAGCCGTAACTTCACTGTCAAAAGCATATGGTTTAGTTTTGAAAGAAACTAGACACATGTCTTGGGCAGATGAAGAAAAGTCTATATATTGAGTAAAAGAATTTACTCATTCCAAAGAAGAAGTGGGGAATGAAACGTAAATTTTAAGGAATTTAGAGATTTTAGAGGAGCTAAGATTTTAGTTAGAAATGTTATAAATGAAAATTTGTCCAGCCAAATTAATATGAAAAATAAATTATTTATTTTGCAATCAAATTTTATCTAGCCAGCCACAAGGAAAGAACAGAGCCGAGCCTGGGGTCGGCCCTGGGTGTGCAACAAAGAGGTCAGCCTCAGCAGAGGTTTTCCTCCATGCCCACACACCTCCATCCTGGCACAAGCGGTTTTTATAGGGAAAATTCCGCCCGAGGCCAAGATTTCAGCAATCAGTCTTTTCTTCTATTCAGAGTCCATATGTTAATAAGATTTTCCTTTTTGGTGATGAGGGAGAACAAATCACTGTCCGGAGTTGTTGAATACTTTGATGAAATTTACATGTATCTGCCTCAGGATTTCCATGATATCCATCTCGGGTCGTTCACGCTAAGGATCAGCACCTGGGGTTTCTGTATCTCCCCAGACATGGCCCATCTCCTGTCGAGCCGTACCTTCTTACTTGTAAATCAGTTTCCAATCTACACCCGGTCTCACCTGCACCTGTGAGGGGGGGGAATCCTAATACAAACATGTATACTCTAACAAATATTCAATATCACATATATCATATTAGAAATGGCGGAAATTATATCTACTACACATAACAGAAATAAGCCTTACTAGAGTTAATAAAAATAAATGAGTAGGCCTTGATGAAGTTAGGAGTTAGTAGTTAACTAATAATTGATTGCTTGTCAGCAAAATGTTTAGTTAGCTGGGTTTATAATGAAGAATATAAAAAGTGACAAATAGATTTTAGGAACTTAAGACAATTGTGGGCCTCCTCTGTTGCTGCGTCTCCCCCTCAAATACACGGGTCTGCACGCAGGGAGGAACTGCGCTGACAGCCTAGTTTTTTTGATCTCTCCCCTGTTTTTGATTTTTAAACTGTAAAAATTCATCCTTAATTAGGCATTGGTGTGCCCAATGTCCCTTCTGGTTGCACAGAAGACACCGTGTTCCTTGTTTCAGTCCCTTTGGGGGTGGTCCCGGAAAGCGACGAGGCGGGGCAGCTGTGGCTGCCGGTGGTGCAGTGTCCATGATGGAGGCTTCGGCAATAGAAACCGTTTTCAGAGGCGTCCGGAACTCCCTGACATCCTTTGCAGGGATGGAAACTTTCCGCGTGCAGACCTCTAGCATGTTTTGGAGAGTGGGGTCTGGATTGAAGGGGAGGCTGAGGATGGCATTCTGGCAAGCCTCGTTTGCATTCTGCCGCGCGATCACGGTAATTATTCCTTTCCAGAGCGTCTCGTCTGGCACTTGTGCATCTATCGCCCAATGCAGTCGGTCTACAA